CTGTTTTACTTAGAAAAGGTTTTCAAGCATGTTACTTTTTCACATTTTGCATTTGTTCAAAACAGTTGTTCGTCAAAATAATAAATCTCCTACAGAAAATCCCACTGTATGAAAACAGTTTAATATTGTATTGTGGAAATTAGTGGGGCACTCTTCAACTAGGGGCTCTGGTGTTTCCATAAGCTCAAACTCACATACTGTGCTAGGAGAACCAGACCTCTGGACATTGTTGATGGTACCACTTTGAAAACATACTGTAACTGTAAACCTGTAGGTGTTCTGATTTTGTGCACCACTGATAAAATCCAGCAGACAGAATCTTTGTCTCTTACCAAGACTCTGGTACCAAGCTCACTGTTTCCTCATACAGATTCTGATTGAAGGATTCTGTACAGTACCTTTAACACAAGAACCAATAAGCAATAAGCAATAAGCAAATCAACTCTTAATTTTGACAGAGAAGAGTTGTCATCTAGAATTAGTTTTACTCACTAATAAGAACAACAACATATCTGTGATGACAAGCCTATTGAAGTCATCTTTTTTATAAAGGATGTTTATAAAAAAGATGACTTCATTATAAGGAATGAACCACAGAGCTGCTGCAAGAGTAAAGATGGGGTAGAGGGATGTGAAATGAAGCTTGTAAAAAAGAAAGCTAAAAATACATTTATTTCTAAGACACCTCCCAAAATGTTGTTTAAATTACACATTTAAATCACACTTAACTATAAAAAATAACTCTGTTCTATTTTTAAATATAACAATTACATTTAGAAAAATATACTTTTATGTTCTACTATATTTTCTACATTATGTTCATTTTTATGTATGAAAAATATTTCCATGAGTTATTTTGGAATTACTATAATAGCATGAAGCTTTGCTAATGATGATATAGAATTTGTCTTTTAAAACATTCCTTCATTTGATGAGGCACACTAAGTGCGTCACATTAGTTAATTAAACTGATAATGCACACAGTATATTAGCAATATAATCATTCCTTGATATTACTGTCATGTGACAATTTAAAACAATAATGTTTTAGCATCAATAACAAAACAATGTGCATAAGAGAGCTATTTATACTTTTTAGCCTTGATTGAAATTTAATTTCGTACTTGTTTCAAAATATTTTCTACCCAACTCACATCACACTGAGAATTGATTTTACTTATTTTAAAATACTAAACACAATTCTTCATGTCTGCATAGCATACAGTCTTTAGTTGTTTAGTTCCAGGGTGAAATGACTACAGTTTTTTTCCCTTAGGATGGATCTCCCATTATTATTAGTGTTCCATATGCCAGTTACGGATGCAGCCATTCTGTACAATACAGATCACATACACCAAGAGCCGAACATTTCAAAACAGAAAACAACGATCCACCATTGAAAACCAAAGAAATCTTCCAGTTGCAAAGGGCACTCTCACTCTTCCTACAGCACGCACTGGAAGTGCTGGAAGCCATGGGACTGGAGAGCAACCCCAACTGGACAGATACAGAAATAAAGAAAAAGAAAAGAGGATAAAAACAGTATCCATAAGGTCTCTACATCAGAATATCTCTCAGTCAACAACAGTCATCAGAGTTGGACATTTTCAACTAATAAAATTGTATGATTGAGAAACAATTTAAACCACTGAGGAAAGCTGTATCAAATGTATTACATTAGATCATGTTTTTTTTCAACTTTTGATCCAACCAACTCAATTTGGCGATCAAATTATTTAACGGTGCACCTCTCCAGTCAGCCAAGAGTTTCCAGGGAAAAAAAAATTCAGATTGGAACACAAAATCACTCATTCCAAAGCCGTCTTGGGCCCAAACCTCTGGCACTGAGCATAAAAACTGACTAAGAAGTGTGTGAATGCTAACCCTAACCCTAGTTGGGGCACCAACTGAGCAGTTTTGCAATCTGTGTATGAAGCCCTCCAGTCATCGGAATTGGACATTTTAACGGAATAAAATTGTATGATTGAGAAACAACTTAAATCATTGAGGAAAGCTCTTTCAAATTTATTACATTAGATAATGTTTTTTTCCAACTTCTGATCTGACCATCTCTGTTCTGCGATCCAATTACCGAACGGGGCGCCACGCCATACAGTCCTCCAAGAGTTTCTGGGAAAAAAAATTCAGATAGGATAAAAAAATCTGAATAAAGCTCCATTGGCATGCAGCAGTGCCAGATGCTATGGAATAAGCCACTCCACTGTTCCCTGACTGCAGAGAAGGTTTTAAGCAGGAAAATGACCGTCCAAGATCCGGTTGCCCTCGAGTGACCACACCAGAGCAGGTCTGATATATCAGACCGGTCCATCTGAGAGATCGTTTGAGATCTGACAGCCATACTGTTACGGAAACTGCTGGCAGACACAATGGTCGCGTCAGTGACAGGACAGTGAGGCTCCACGTTTGCTTAGAGCAAGGCGATCTGTTAGTGGCACTCTGCTCACACCTCCTAAACGTCACACCTGACTGGCTTGAGCCAGACAGAGGCTGCAATGGACTTGTCAACAGTGGCATCAGGTCCTGTTCACGGATGAGTCACTCTTCAGCCTGATCCACGCAGACAAGAGGGCCAGAGTGTGGAGGAGGAGGTGTTTAGTTTCTTTTTTCCATCAGTATACATTAAAGGCAGTCAAAAATCTCAGAAAAATAAACGTACAGATAGGAGCAATTTATCCATTGTCTTAAAGTTCATTTGGGTCCGAAATCCATCGCTAAGTGTAAGAAACATCTATGTGGTGTGGGAATGCTAACCCTAAACCTAGTTGGAGTTACATGTCAGTATTTCTGCAATCTGTCTCTGGAGCCCTCCTGTCATCAAAGGTGAAATGTTCTGCAACCAAAGAATGTGTCTCAAACAATCAAAATTGTTGTTCCACAACTAGCATACACCACCATGTGGGATGGGTAATTGGAAAAAGAGCTAAGATATGCTACTAATACGTAATGAAGAAAATCCAAGACACTTAGAAAGGTGGGTGCATTCTTCCTTTCTCTGGAGACTCATTCATTATGTGGGAATCAAGAGAAAAGAAGCTTGATATGAAAAGAAGCTTGGAAAAACCTAACCTCAACCACATTTCTTGCACCATAAATAGTCTCCATTAATAATTGTTTTAGCATACTTTTTAAGTTCTTCTTTGTAACGTATTTGGGTTTTTCTTTCTGTAATTTAAAATGTGATTTTCTGTGATTCAGAAGATTCTTGCAAACAAATGTTCTGAACACAATTCATCAATTATCAACATGGTAGCTAAATACCACCTTTCTGTATATGATCTTAGAATATTTAGTAGTAGCACAACCTCCAGAAGGAACTGTACCTTGAAAAATGACCCTATTCAAATTGGAAGCACCTAGATGCTGTGCTAATATTTTTTACAATGTTTAGAAACTCCATTCCTTTAAAAAAAGTTCATCCAAAGCTCATTGAATTAAAGAATGTCAGCCATTGATGCTCCCCACTTCCCTGGTTAGTATCCACAAGCTTGTGTGCTAATCATTCAAAGCACGTTAAAACAATCTAGTCAATGGATTTATGGAGATCTATAGTTAGTTGTTTTGACAGTGCTGATTTTCTTCAGTGAATCTGTGGAACATAGGAAGGGAAATGCAGACATGCAGACTCTGGTAAATTCTCTGGTACCCTTTTGAGACTTTTGAGTCACTTCTGAAGGAATTTCATAATCAAGAAAGCTTGCTGATCTAAATGAAAGGTGACTGTAGCACAGGGAAAACTGGCTTGCCTCAAGGGGCTCAAATGAAAATGTACATAAGTACTCCAGGGGGAGAATGAAAAATAATCAAAGATGGCCTCAGGACCTGCTGCTCTGTCACTCTGCATTTTCATTAAAGCATAGTTTCAGAAATTTAATGGAAATGTTTTTAAACACTTCAGTTAAAATACATGTACTCCCCATAGTGCTTTTGAGTTTTCAGGTTTTTTACGTTTTTTAATTTAATTGACTTCCTGATACACCAGTACCAGTTCATTCATAAAACTGAGTGGCGGTCTGTCTTTTCTGTGATTTGAATTCTAAATTGTTCCCAATCTGACACGCATATCTTAGATAAATTATAGTACTGGGATACAGCAGTATAAGGTATTTTAAACTTAAAGTACTATCAGTATTTTAACACTGGGAAGATGCGATAAAATTGATTTGAGGAGCTGCAGCCCGTCACCTTTTTTATTCTCAAGTACTGACTAGGATTAATTGAGGTTTTAGTTTTCGCATACTTACTAAAAATCCACTTAAAAGTTAATATTTCTTAGTTTAAAACAGTGGGCATAGAAATGGAGAATGTTATCAGCAATCTTAAATTTAAAGTCTATTTTGAAAAATAGAAAGGCTCTCTCAGTGTCTATTCCGAAGATAAGATGTTTTATTGCTTTCTATGCACCATTCCCTCAAAATGAGATGTATAGATGTGTAGTATAACTGTTGTTATCTGAGAAAAGGTGTGCAAGCTAATGTATAAAGCCCAGATGGTGGAAAACAACCCTGTTTTCATTACTGAACCTCCAATTTGCACTACCATTGAAATTGAGCTGTTTTTTCCCCCGATTTTAGATTAGTTGGCTTAAACTAATTCTTATAACAAATGAACATGACTTTGATTACTTTTTAAACGTATTGCTTATTTTCAGCGTTCTATTTGTAATCTCCCAAGAATTTGGGCAAAATATAGTGCCACAAAAACAACTGAATGCCTTTCCAGGAAGCATAACATGTTTTTTTTTTTTATTATCAATGAAGCTAAAAATGTTGTAGCTCAAGGGGAACAGGACTTCCAAGGACAAGTAAGTGACCATATACTGATAAAAATCCTCTTTTTTAACACTGGTAATTGTATGTTTTTTATGTTAATTGCTTCTCAACACTATGAGCCAAGTGATCTGCACTTTGATTAACATCTCAGGCACAAAACACCACTTTCTAAATAAAATATTTTCTGAAGGAATAACTACGGAACACAAATTAGTGAATATAATCATTTAATTATTCCACTGTGATGCAAGAATGTACAGGTAGTTTCTCTCTGAAGGTATAAAAATCTTCTTAAATAAGCAGTTTCATGTTCTGAAATTATTAATCTGTTACAAACCCTGACGACAACAAATCCCTTAGAGCCAACAAAAAAAATAAAAATAAAAATAAAGTTAGCAATACAAATCCAGCAGATTGCAACCTGACATAAGAAATGTTTTCAAAATTTCAAAGTATTGCTCAATAATCTTTAAAAAAGAATATTTAAATCCATAATTTGGACACAAAATAAACATTGTTCTGAAATTATATATATAGATATGTACATAAAAACATTATAGTCAAAAAGGCATTGGTTTAATCTATTTATTAGAAAGCTGTTAGAATGTACGTGGGTCCTTTCTGCTTCTGCAGACTGATGACTGATCTCTGTTTTGTCTTCAGTTTTTTTGGGGAACCTGCTTCTGGTGCAAAAATAAGAGTCTGTAGAATCTGAAAAAAATAAAAAAAAAACATAAATTACCATGTAAGCAAAGACCTGTACTGTACAAATCAATTTTGTTACATGCTAAGATTGATTTAATTTTTATTTAACAGGTTAAAAATGTTTTGAAATCATGTCCCAGTACTTTCCTCTGGCGGTTGACACAAGGCTTTTCTTTAAAATTAATGAGAACGCTTTATAAGCATAGCATTTGCCAAAGGCAAAATCTATTTATTACACAGGAATTCACAAGAAGGAAGTTAAAATATGCACAACAAAAGAAATTTTAAAGGAATTGCTTTAGAAAGTACAACTTTATCATAAAGTGCAAGAAACCATTTTAATTGCAGGTAGATTTACTGTATTAATAATAATGAGAACAATTATTCAAATTTAAGAAGCACAAAGCAATTATAATAACTCATGTTATTGCTGTTTTTGTTAATAATATTTCCTTCTCATCCCGAAAATTCCAAAAGCACTTTAGATGTGGCATTCTTTAAACACTGAGGTCCAGCGGCCACCTAGGTGACATACAGCAGACATTATGTACCAGCAACTCCACCGCATAGCACATGGGCGGAGCGGTGGCTCTGTGGCTAAGGATCTGCGCCTGTGACTGGAAGGTTGCCGGTTCAAATCCCGCGGCCGGCAGAGGAATCCGACTCCGTTGGGCCCCTGAGCAAGGCCCTTAACCCTAACTGCTCCAGGGGCGCCGTACAATGGCAGACCCTGCGCTCTGACCCCAAGCTTCTCTCCCTGTCTCTGTGTCTGTGTCTCCATGGAGAAAAGCTGGGGTATGCGAAAAGACGCATTCCTCATGCAAGAAATTGTATAGGGCTAATAAAGAAACATTATTATTAACTTTAACATTATTATCATGCAGAGAAATGAGAAACTGCTCCGGTTGAACTACTGAATCTAGCCTGGCAACGGAGCAAACAATCTTATGGCAACCAAATAGTCAGAACTCCAGCCTCCCATCTGAAGGACAGCACTCCTAAGTAAGTGTACCCTATCTTTATCCTGGAGGATTAGAAATTCTGTTCTCTACATCATGGAGTTCATAACAGACGTTTGGGAGGAAGGATACAACCTTATCACAAACTGTTCTGCTTGCCTTTCGGTATATCTACCGGTATATCGTACACTCTTGCAGCAGCTTCCTGGCTCAATCCTCACTATAGTGAGGGCAGGTTCCCCCCTAATGCCCTCATTCCATCAGCTTGGCAATTTCTCTATTTATATTTTGTCCCTTAATGGCACATTAATTAGGATCTAACCAAACTTCTGATTTGAAAATCTGTCTGATTGTTCTAAAATGAATTTTGAGACATTATTGTACAAACAGTTGTGGTTTATAGGCACAATCTCACGTTTCAGTTTTGCAGTTATCTGATTATATACTGTTTGTATTATATATATGAAAGAATAAAGCAAATTGCTTCGACTATTGGGTTGCTGTTGGATTAGTCAGTTTGCCCCATCAAAGTCAATATTATTTGAAGAAACTCAGGTTTTAGGTATTATTACTAACATGTGCTCCTCAAACCAAACTAAAAAAGAAACAGCAGGGATCCTTAGCCCTTAGCAGCTATTTCAGATAAAAATAGAATCTACCACTAAATATGGGGAGCAGGAACACTTTTATAATATTTTAATAATAAAAAATGTTTACACAATTTAAACATGTTAAATTCCTAGTGCAGCATTTATGGAACAATTCATGCAGGCAACAATGAGACATTTAAATAACACATGCACTCTTTATTATAAGCCTGCACCAGCCTGATAACCAGGCAACAGAGCCTATAAACCCCTTGAAAAATGTTCAACACACAAGCACAGCACAGGGAACACGTACACAACTTTAGGGTGGATACGGGTCTCGAGAAGAAAACAGGGGTAAATATCAACCAACCAAGTACAATTTCCTACAAAAACACTATTTACATAGCTAAGGTTAGCTAGCTGTGAGCCTGGGAGCCCTAACACCATCTCCAGACAGTACCGTGACAGTGGTTCCCAGCCTACTCTGCGGTACATTCTACTTATCCAGGTGTGCTTCTGCCAAGACACCATGTGAGGGCGCTACAGTAATAAATAAATACTACAGTAAAAGTTCACCACCTGAAATGTTATCACCAGCATGCCTCTTAGACACATTCGTGTCACCTTGTCCACTCATATTTACAACAATGCAGAAGATTTAGTGAAAATAGCAGAAGAATTGAGGAGCACCTCCTAATTAGCACTTCCAAAAAAAAAGCATGTGGGACAACTGAGCATCATGTGTATTCCTCCCCGGACCACCGCGTTCAGTTGTGTTACTCCACCATGCAAAATGTAAACATGCCATAGATTAAACCGCATATAAGCAAACATGAGTTTTGCGTTATACAGGCATCTGTCCCCTACTTACCAAATGCGTATGAGCCAATTCTCGTTTTGGAAACTTGCATAATGGCAGAGATCAGTGTATTTTTTTTCACATATTGGATGGGTCCCACTTGTCAAAAGAATAGAAATTGTGCTGTTTTAAGCATCCGAAACTATCACCGGAGTCTCTAAGGGTCTGTCTGGAAGCTGGTTTTATCAATTATTTTATAAAGCTGCATAGTGTGAAATCCTTGTTATGCACAAGCCCATCAAATTCAGGAAAGTCAGGCATTTCCTAGACAGATAAATCTGAGGTCTCCTTAAGGTATGTAAGGAAGGTTACAAACAGTGGGAGGCTATCTAGTCATGTTTCTAGTAGAGAGCTGATCTGAGGATCTCTTTCAGCTGTTTCTTGAAAAAAGACAGTATATCAGCTTCATACCAGAATTCACAACCCTTTGTGTGAAAAAAGTGCCTCTTGCTCTTAAATGCCCTTGTCCATAAGGGTCTATCTAAAGTTCAATATCCACCACCCTTTTTGAGTGTCAAAAACAATTAAAAAACAACCAAAGATGGGAAAATATATTTACTGGTGAGGTAAACGTCCTTGAAAAACAGGACAGAAGGACATGCCTCAAAGGGTCACAATATTTGTTATCACATTACTAGGAACACAGAAAAAAATTCACTAAGGAATATTGATGGGGAAAAAGTGTAAGGTACCTTTAAAACCACTTGGGACATCGAGATAAAAAAAAAAACAAAGGTTGTTTTTGTGTGTACTTGAATAAAACATATATTTAATGTTTTCAGTGGCAGGTGCTTAGAGAGAGAAAAATAAGCAGATTGTAAAGTCACTATGTAAAGTAGTAACTGTTGGAATGCCAAAGAACAGTGATTCTAAATATCCAAAAAACAAAAGTCTAATCATAAAACCCTCCCCATTTTCATTAACAGTTGGTGAAAGTTCAGATTAGTTTATGTAACTTCTCACAAAACATCTCTCATGTCGGCTGCTTTTGTTATACTTTTTGGATCTGTTGAGCTTCTAGGTATCGCCCCATGTACTGAATCAACAGATAAATAGAAAACAGATTCCCAAATTTAAAATTAGTAGTATCAGATCATTTAAAAACCCATTCATAGAAACCTGTGAATAGGGTTAAATATGACATTCAAATTCAGGGTGTTAAGGTGATCTGACAGCGTCAAGCATGCAGACACCTGTGGCATCTTCTGTGGTATAACAAAATTTACCAGATTATTACCAAAATTTATTTGCCAGATCCCATGAAGTAAACATTTTCAAAGAAAATGGTGGTGATTTATCCACTAGCATGACTTTTATATGCTTAGAGACTATTACTAAAAAACACTTTGAAGAAGCAACAGAGATCCATGAATGTCACTGGTTAAGGAATTCAACTAATGGGTTGGGTAGAATACAAGACCCTTTGGAAGTACTAGGATATGGGATGAAATGGGTGGTTTGGAGATGATGTCTGTATAATTAGCCTAAAGAGGGAGTTTTGAGAGATACTGTTACGGGAATTAATAACACAAAAATACAAAATTAATGGTTTTAATCTAATCAGCTGCTGGGTCCGCTAATGTGTTTTTCTGTGTTCAAGTAATTTTTTAATATAGTTAATTGCTCCCTGAACTAACAGTAATGCATCTGAATCTGTAATTGCTCAAGAATTAATGGAATCCTTCACTGAAACACAAGAGTTAGAATTAAAGAATATTTTAAGATTGCTCTGACAATTTCTCAAGGTACCCATGAGGACAGTTTAAACTTATTTTAAAACATCCCATGTATAATGTCTAATTACACAATAATGACCAATCCAAAGTCTATGAATCTGTAAAATCCTTTTGCCCAGAAGCAATTAAGCCATCGAACAAACAAGGGTCATATACATTAAACAATTGTTAATGTATATTATCTTTAATGGACACTTTTCACCACCTAACAGGTCTACATTCCCCCCCGAGACAAAAGGAATGACCTACATTGTAAGGCCCCCACCTCTTTTCTCCCAATTCCACAAAACAACAACAATAATAACAATAACAATAATCATCATCAATAAAGCTCCTTTCCAAACCCAAGGACACTGCAATAATCTTCTAAGTAAAATGTCCCAGTTTTTGCTGCCCCTATTTTGGGCAATAAAATAAAAGATGGTGGGTGAAGCTGTGACTCTGGCAGAATGGAAGAATGGCACTGAAACTGCAGCAAAAAAATCTGTTTTTTTTTGCGAGATAGTCAACAGTGTACCCACAGGTTAGAGCCGGATGTATGAAAAGGTGTGTGTCAGACTGTGCAGTCCATGCAGCATGCATCTGAACAGAAAATCCTTCATTCTGATTACAGAATGGCCCTGTCGTTACCTTGATTAGCCTGACACTGGATTAAAATATGAGCAAAAGATTATAATGCCTACAGTTGAATGCTGGAATGATGTTTTTAAATGGCTATTTATCAGCAATACAGCTGGCCAGCATTATTTGCTGGCAGGTTATATTTCCCCATAGGTTACAGACTGCAAAGGTATTATTCACATAGTAGGAGACACACCGGGCTGTGTGGGGGGAAAAATGTATTTTCTAAATGTTTTCAAATCTTTCTCTTGTAACTCTTTTTATTGAAGTAAAGTTTACCAAGGGGAATGACTATGGCACAGGGCCATAAAAGAACACCTACAGAAGCTGTGCCAAAAGGGCAGGTTTTAGGATGATCAGAGAAAGAGATTACTGGCTACCTTCTGGCACTGGTTTGTTTGTTTGTTTGTTTTTCTTAATTTACAGGGATACAGTTACAGTCTAACTTTCTAAAAATATAAGATATAATCATTAATTTTTCTCTTTTAAATGCAACAAACGGAAGTCCTCTATAACAATGACGTATCGCTCACTTTAGAGAGGCAGCTGATCATGAAAGAGAAAGCTGGCTACAATCGAATACAGTTCACAAGATATTTTGGTATTTGTCACAGTGTTTTGTTGTGCCATGGTTTGTATATATGAAACATGAGACTGAAACCTGCTTCCACACTATGTACAGTAGGTAATCAGAAAGGCATAGCTGGTAAAGTAGAAACCAGGTAGCTTTTCAGTCTGGTTATACTTGATCAATTACTTTATGCTAAATAAAGGACTACTGATAGACTTGTTTGCAATAAAACAAAGAACCACAGAAGGGCAATGAGAACAGGAATAAAAATGAAAAGTGTACAAATCTGCATTTACTTGCAAAACTGGTACAACATTGGGGAAAATGGTCAAAGTAATCAGTCTTTCCTGTGATCTTGGATTAATTTGCAATCCTTTCAGGGAGACAAGAATTGTATTTGTTCAGCAGAAACTTTTAAGCAAGGCTCTTAGAATTTCACAGTCAAAGTAGGGTGACCAACTCACCGAGCATTCAGGTGGAAACCTCATGATGTCAATCAAGCCCCTCCACTGAAACTGATCTGAAGAATAATTAAAAGTAATCAACACACAGGCTTCTAGCTAATTATAAAATTTGCCCAGAGAGAGAATGGAAATTATAATCATACTACAATAGATGTATTAAGGTGAAAATTCAAAAGGCTGATAATTAAATCTAAAGTGATCAAAAGAACAAAACGAATCAATATATAACAAAGAATGAAATCATTAATAAAATTTAAATAATTTTAACATACAATGTTTCTATCTTACCTCCTCTAATCTCCTTGAAGAAAATAATGAAAATGAAACAAAGAACAAAACTACTTTAACCTAGGGCTGAGCGATATGGCCTAACATTTATATCACGGTATAATTTTAATTTTGGACAGTAACAATATATGTCACAATATATAATTTTTTCTCATAATTTCAAAAGAATATGCTTTAAAGAGAGTACAAGACTTGGATAGTAAGCTTTTATTGCCTGGAGTTAACTATTGGGTTATTGTTAACTGTTGGTTAGCTACTGTGCGGTTAATATTTTAATTTCAGTGAACTGAAGTAGAACATTTTAGGAACATTTTTGTTTTGCAGAACTGAAACAATACAATAAACTTACGAACATGAATTAAATAAATATGAAATACTTCAAATAATATTCTTAAATATAAACTTAAAGATGTTATACTTCTTAAAACAAAACAGTTGGCAGATTTCTGCTACCGTTTTCTGCTCATGGTCCGACTTTTTAAATCTGAACCATTTCCTAACAACCAAAGAAGCCCCCTTCTTTCCAACAATTGCGTCCCTTGTTCCCGCCTCACTAACGCCGATTCTGTCCGTTTCTCCGAGTATTTGTGTTTGCAGACGGGCACGCCGAACACGTGCGTTTGTTTTCACGGAAAAGGGAAGATGACGACGCGGGTTTTTATTTGCTGCAATGACCTCAGATGCGTCATAAACCGGACATCTGAACAACGGAGATCAATAATTCTGAACCGATCAGTTTTCCAAATATCAGCAAGATGAAGATTTTCAGAATTATATAATTGGAGCTAAACTACAGCAGAATTTTAAACTTTAAACTGGTCAATAGCAAAATTTGCAGCACAATCTATGTGAACATCAAAATCCATTCTCTACCGGTATAAACGATATAGCCAAATCCATACCGTGGCACATATTTCTACCGGTATACCGTCTATACGCGTTATACCGCCCACACCTACTTTAACCTAACTCTAGATTAAAATTATTTCCATAGTAAACATACTGTGAAAAGTTGGAAACCTATTTTTAAAAAATCGTATTATCAGAATACTGAAAAATTCTTAAAAGTTATTTTACTAGATTTAATATCTGGGTGTAGAGCTACAATCTTCATAAACTAGTACTAATTCTAGTGAAATATGTACAATTCTAAAACAAAATTTTGCATGACTACATTACACTTCAATGCTCTTGAAGCAGGTATGAGATTATACGGTATAAAAAAGATACAGTTCTGCTACATTAATGTACATGCATGCAGAGTACAGCACAAAACCCTAAATAACTATTACTGAGGAATTCCCATAACTCTTTATAAAAATTTATAACTACGTACAACATAGTAATACATACAAGAGCTGACAACCAATTTTGACAAATAGTGTAAAGCATATTTAGATAGGATTTCTTTTCTTATGAAATATCAGCCTTGTAGCATATTCTGAAATAGCTTTAACTGCCCTTATTATGGGGTGTTTCATAATTGGTCAATGTGTTGCTTACTTGTATAGTTTTCATATTAGTTTCAATTGTGGTTACATGACTGACATCTAGATTTCCCACTAAACTAAATGTACATGTTCATTCTGGAGAGCCACAATTATAAGGCAACACTCATGAACAATTTCTGCCTCTCCACTTTTTCTCATGTGCGAGAAAACGCACTCAACAGAACAAAAGAGATTTTTGAAGGAGTATCAGTTCTGAATCACCAAACAGTTCAAGCAGCCCACTGCAGCATAAGCCGACAACGTATAACTCTTCTGACACCTGGCCAATAGAAAAACAGTGTACTTTTAAAGTAATTAGGACTCTGGTGCATCATGGGATAAAAAAAGATTCATGAGCACCTAATTACTATGTTTTCCTATGAGCCTGTAACTGTGCAATGTTCTCCTACTTTAGCTGTGGGAGAACACAATCTGGAAGCGTGCATCCCGTCAAATGCAATCTCACGTATGACACATTCATTTTCAACCTAGGACGATGAACGTGTCTGAACTGAGAATGTGTCTGAATGAAAGCTGTTTTGGAAGCAAAACAAATTAATTTCTTTCAAAAAATAGACTGACACAAACCTGTTTCACCATATGTTTGGGGACACAAAAATTGAGACATTTTGAAGGATATTTATTGTAGAGCAGAAGAAAAAAACTGAAGAAGCCAAAATTATGCATTTAGGCAAGGGAAAGATAGTAATATGTGATTTTGCATCATATTCAAGGAGAAAAAGTCAAGATAATAACTTTGACATTTTAAGACTTAATACCTACATTGAACTGCTCTTGTACACTTAAGGTTTATAAAGGGGAAACTGCACAACAGATCATGATTTCCTGGGCACCAGAAGGTTCATTTTAATGACTGTTAGAAAATCCAGTTTCAAAATGGAGTTTAGCTTGTCCGTCTATTGAATTATGCTAATATAAAATTAGCTAGACACCCTTTAGACTGAAAGTCGAAGCATGCGGAAGGCAGAAAGAGGAGGCAAATTCTATAAACCCTGTAGGTTTTTAAATATGTATAAAATCTTCAGCAAAAGCCCTGCAAAAACGTGGCTTTTTGACAGGACATTTTGACCCCTATCTTTTAAGACAAATGTTAAATATTTTATGGCAGGCTTTATTAAGGCAGCCCAAGGTGCAATACTCATCGTGTCCAGGAAACCAATTTGAATGGAGATATTGGCTCACCTCAGCATGCAACTTTCAATTGGAGCAAACTGCCTCATGACATCCCAGATCTGCTTACGGATATGAAGGCAAGCTTCACTCTACAAGATTCTAAAAACCTTTTGTCTACTGCGTAAAAAAAAAAAAAGCAAGTCAAACACTTCCAACTGCCTAACACATCAGAGTGCCAGTTTTCACAGCACTGTTCACTTTATCCCTGTGGTGCCCCTCACCTTCTCCGGGTCCTATGTGTTGGCTTTGTTTTCTATGCTCATGTCCTGTGTCGATTCAGCGGCCCGCGCCAAACCGTCTGCCATGAGTGCTTCCTCCAGCTTCTTCCGTACCTGCTGCACCCTCTCCTCTTGTTTTCTATAATCAAAGCACAGGTCCCTCCATGACTCCCGGTGTCCAGGTGCGCCCCACACATTGGGCACAGCTACATGTACATGTACATGGATTCTCTAAGATGTGCAGGTCTTATATGTCCCATTAAAGCAAAAACATCTATGACATGATGAATGGACATGGGTCCACACAACTTAAACATTGCAAAACTGCACCATTTCAAAATATATAAATACACACACACATATGTAGAATATTTAAAGCTGTGAATGATCTAAAAAATCAAACAAAGGTAGCATTCTTGCAATATGATAAGGTTTCGGTAATATCTTTCTTTAAAAGTTTATTATAAAGGTCTTTAATAAAGACATTTAAAGGCTCTTTATAAAGAATTCTGCTTCTTTAAAAGTTTTAAATATCATCCCCCTCAGACCTCTGCCCTATTTTTTTCTAAGTAGGGTTGGGGAGAGCTTTCCATCTTATAGGTACCTGTCTTCATGTCCTGTCATACCCTGAGTAATTACAGAAGAGGGTGTTTCTGGAAACAGTTAAATCACTGGTCATTAATATGTACTGATACTGTATGAATCAGTGGGTAGGAAAACAAAATCAAACTACAACTGCTCACGCAATGACATATTTGCTATGTCTACACATCAATCAACCTCCCCCACTTCCAAAAGTATTTACATAAAACCTAGATCTACAAGAGCCTGGGTGCATTTGGCTGCTCAATTGTGATGTTTGGCATTGGACTTTTAACATGCAATATGTATCAGAAAAGGTATAAGTTTTAGTATCATTAGTCTCAACATACAGCCTAAAGTCAACTTCTGATAATTCAAATTCAGTCTGAATGCCTGACACGTTAAAATATTTATATCTTACGTCTTCAATACATTTCTATAAAAAGAACATTGGCATTCTCCCTAAATAGATAAACTGTAAGTTGCTTTTAAGTGTATATTGTATTAGCTCATGAGATTACATCCATTTACCTTTGGGAAAACAAAATAAGTTTTTAAAAATTCACAGCTTAGGAACTACACCAGATCTTTATACAACATATTTTCCATATTATCAAAAGACTAAAGCTGAAGTATACAATTTCAGGTTTTGCTAAATATTTTACTGGAAAATCCAAAGAATAAAAAATGGAAAAAAACAGCTACATATCTTGTTAACGGACTCTGAGCAACCTTGGTTAATGAGGCTGCATTTCTGTTAACAAGTCTGTAAACTATGCTATGTACATTTCTGTTAACAAGTCTGTAAACTATGCTATGTACATTTCTGTTAACAAGTCTGGACGAACCAGGGATTTTGGCAAGCAAAGACATTATACTTCCCCAAAAAATATTATTTCTACTCATAATGGATGCTTGATATATTCAGCTATGAGGCAGTATGACTACGCTTCTAGTGCCTTCTAGTGGAACATCAAATTAGTACTTTTCTACTCTTCACCTCAGAGTAAATTTAGCAACAGAAAAGTATATGGTTCCTATAATTAACACATTCTGCATAACATTCACATGGCTCATTCCATCTTTATTACATAAAACATCTCCTTGAACTGCTCTAAAATGAACTGCATAATATACTGTAATATTATTGAAAGTATTTGAAAAATATCTATAAACATTTCAGAATTCAAAAAACATACTGTGTTTTTTTTTTAAATCCAAACCCTCTGGTAAGGAGTCCAGAGGCCTAAACACTATTTCATTCTTCTGCCCACTGTGAGTGCCCACTGCTGCCCCCATTGTTACTGTGAGTCAAAGGACAGCGCATGCCTTGAGAGAAAAACAACTTGGGGGTTGAAAGGTCACTATGAAACTATTCTATAGTCACTTATGTGAGTTTTTAAAAGGATGATACCCAAATATGGGCACTGAAGCACTTTTTTTAGAAAACGATATTTAATGGAAATGAAATACGTAATATAAATCTACTGCACAGCCCAATTAACAAGTGCCCCAGATATAAATCAGAGAGCAGACAATGAGGTCTAATAGCACCGGTTTGGGTGCTGAGTCACTTGCAGATTCTTCACAGAAAATCCATCGAGGTTTCTTTTGTTAAAGGATTTGAAATCAATTCCTCTGGATCTTAAGAATCAAAGCACAGCCTCCATATAAAACAAACCTGAGAGGTTAAAAACACTGTTTTATCCTTCACCACAGCTGTGGAAAACAGGACCCGTTTTATCTTTGTATTTGTTTCTCTTGTTATTTTTTAAGCTACAACGAAACACCGTCTGTTGAGTTCAAAGGACGTTCATCAGTGTTTACAGCAAAAAAAAAACATACATGGCATTAAATTTACAATTTCACACTCGGAGCAGCTGAGAACCATTTCTGAAATATCATTCCTTAAAGTAATTTAAACCATAGACTGAAAATAAAAGTAATCTTGGCTTACAGTATAAAGAGCATAAAGCACATAGTGACTGTTTTGCAGTAAATGACTCCAATATTGGACAGTACTTTTTTCTCATTATAAAGAGAAATTTGAAGATCCTGCACTACCAGTTTTACAAGGCAACAGACATAAAGTCTATATTTGATCTTGGAGCAATTCATATAACATGAGAAAACCTCATTAATGGCACAATAACCACAAATCACTAAGGACCAAGAAATGGCAGGAAAAATATGAAAATAGATAAAACTTGCGTCAAAATCGAAACCAGTCATATGTGGAAAAGTTAAAGAACCAGTCATATTTTGAAATAAAAATGAGATTTCAGACCTGAAAACAATTCTAAATCATCCCCATGTTATCATGCAGCTCATAATGTCATCGTAAATATTTTAATCAAAGAAATATTATTGTGGGAAATAGGTGAAACCCCAGGTGAACTGCAGTGCTGTGGTTCTATCACAATGGGTAGAAGCTACTTTAATTTGCCAAATGTTGCCACTTCTGGAACCCTGGTCACACTCGGGTGATGACATACCCCTGACATGGAACCTGGGCTACAGAGCTCAACATGCTCCCACAAGGATCGTCCCCATAACAGATTATTTACGATCTGGAAACACCTTGAGCATTGATTTTCAAGGTTTACAGACTTACTTCCAACACTCACACATTGCATGCAGCACTGCTAATTTTGTTGAAATATAAACAGGTGCTCATATCAGTCATGAATATCCAAATTACCAGCCTGTAAACAAATTTAAAGACCTGGATGTCAGACTTCCTGGGGGGGTCCATGGTTAAATGGTATTTTATTAAAATTCTGTCTCTGTGGGAATTGTGCTGCTTAACATAAAAAATGAATTATAATCCACAGAGGATTTGAAATGAATCCAGGAGCATTGTCAGGAGCAGGTATGCACAGATTAATATTTCTAAATGTTAGACAGGAGTGATGATGACATGGCTAATTCTAATCAATACTAAAGTACTTTCATGTCACTGTATCTGATGCAATGTTGCTCAGAGGTAACCACTTGTGCTGGCAGGGTCCGCTGTAGTACAAGACTGCCTCTAGTACATAAAAGTACATGATCTTCATTTTACTCCAACCCAGATAATATAATGTGTATGAGATACTGTACCCCGAAGAATGGGACTAGGCAGGACTCCCTTTTAATCAGAAGATGGTCATTTAAAAAAAGTCAAGTTAATTCATGTAAATGTGGAAGCCACCTGAGGTACAGGAAATTCTCACAAATCAAGAGTGCAGATTTTCAACTCAGATCATCTGGACACTTCTAATAGCACACTGAGTAACGTGGAAGAAATTAGATCATTTTAGCCAGATAGCAATGATGAACAACATGAGGCCTTTGCTGTATTTCTCATCTATTGGGGGCTTACCGGATGTCATCATCTGTGACAATGAAGGCTTTGCAGAGGGGCTGCGATGTGTTTAGCCACACAGCTGGGTTCTTCTCTACAGCGTTACACGTCTGGCCTGTTATTGGGGAGGAACTTGTGTGCAGAGCGCTGGCTATAGCAGAGAGAAGTGTCTCGTCTGTTGTGTCAGGACCAACTCCTGAAAACACAAAGGCACATCCTTCAAAACACCTGAAAACTCAAAGGCACATCTTTCAAAACTCCTGAAAACTCAAAGGCTTCAATACTGTCACAGGTCTTAAATGCCATAGGGTTGCACATTTAGTGACATTTTGTCTGCCTTTAATTAGGAACTATTTGGACTGATTTGAAGCCAAATATTCAAAAATGTATTTTTAAAACACAGTTTCTGAATTTCATTGGGAATAGAGCTCTTTAAATTAGTCAACAGCATTTCTGATTTTTTATTTTATTTTATGCACAGATCTGACAGACCTAATGTCACTTGAAACCATTTTAGATGACTAACTTAAAACATAACAAAAATAAGTAATGACCAAGTTGTGCTACTGTTGTTTCATAAAGGAAACTGAGTATTACTGACCTAACCCAACAACCTGAGAAATTAATAATACTGAATTATACAGAAGGAATGAGGTAAAATCCTACCTTGTAGACCCTTTGGAAGCTCCATGGTTTTCAGAACCTCTTCTGTTACATCACATGACCGCAAGCCTTTCAACCTCTTTTCCCAGAAAAGCTAAAACAAATAAGCACAAATATTGGAAAAGTATATTTCAGAAAGCTTTTGAGATACACAATAAGGACAACTTTATATAGAGTACGACAAACTACTACAAGCAAAGTAACATTTATTTGTACACATTAAAGACAAAAAACAAACGGTTCTTGTTTCAACAATTAATGAAAAATGCATAAAGTGTTTATCTACAACATTTCAAAACTGCATACTGAAGCAGAAGCTTAGTGCTCAGAATGCTAAATGTCTTGTGCTGGACCCCAGAAAATAGTAATACAATACATTACCATCACAAAATACTATAAAACTAAATATAAAAATAAGTAATGTTTGGTAGCTAAGAAGCATCATGGGAATTGTTTGCTGCACTGATTTACCAATCATATTGTACATCATCCTAATTGAGGGTGGTATTCTGTACAACAGAGTAGAGATGTTTAGAAAGAGTTTATGATACTAATAAACTTAGGTCCTCCACTGAATCTAACATTCAGTTTCTAATACATCTTCATACCATCAGCACTTTTATTCTTTTATTGAATCATCTGTCAGAGTTAATGGTTTGGCGAAACTAGGAGAGAACTAGTCCACAAATACTAACATTTAGTTAATGGGTGATGCTAACAATGGACTTTTCAAATCAGAAACTGAAGAACTACAGAGAGTCCAGGGAAGAGATCAATGTTGTTCATTCTACCTGACTGCAATCCTAAGATTCACTCTGCAATACTGAACAGATAACTTTAAAATACTGTACAAAACTAAAGTCTGATTTAGTTTTGGTTAATCTCATGTCCTTGTTTTACTGAGAAAACTACATGTTTAACTTGCACAATATAATCATTTATGGTATTTGTATATGAAATACATTAGTTTTTTTGTACATTTAAGAGTGACAAAACTGGTTTCTATCACACATTATGACCTCCTTATAAATGGCTGCAATATACATTTTAAAGAGAAAATGTTATTTGTTAAGGGGTACAAAGTTATTAGGAGAGACCGTTCACTGATATTGATTCCAGTATAATTGTTGTTTTGAAGCTTTTACAATAAATATAAAAAACTAAATATTCAATACAGAAGTTCACTGGGGAACATGTACCCTCCCCAGGTATACAGAATCCTTAATAATATAATTGGCCATCTCACTTCAACATCTAAGTCTAAAGGTAAAAGTTCTCAAAAACATGAGAAGATAGTAATTGGTTCAGGGATGCAAAGACATTAGTGAATCTATGGATTGGACTGCAGAAAAATCCGCAAAGCTAATTAGACAAAAAATGGCGGAAGACTAGTAGAGAGGCACAGTGGCAGAGTGGTTTGCGTTCCTGACTCACAGAGATGGGGCCCTGAGCTCAGGTCTGGACCTGGAATGCGATCTGTGTAGAATTTGCTCTCCCTGTTTGTGCAGGATGCTCTGGTTATCTCTAACAGGCCAAAGACATACTGTAAGGTTAATTTGTAACTGGGGAAAATGGGCCCTGCTGTGCGTGTGCCTGTGTGTAGCCTGCAATGGACTGGCACCCTGTCCATTGTGCCCTGCCTTGTGCCTCTTGCTTGCCAGGAAAGGCTCTGGCTCCCCCGCAACCCTAAATAGGATGAATTCAGGTTACAAAATGGATGGACTAATAAGCAGTCTTAATCTCAGAAAAAGCAGGCTGCATTATCTAAATACTTTCTTTATCTATAAATTTCCCTGCTTTCATCACAGATTGGTGGGACCTACTGATAAATTCATTGCCAAATATTTATTAGGAATTAGTGCAAATCAAAGTAAAGCAGACAAATTTATAAAAATCCCTGTTCCAAAATGAAAAAGAGCGAGTAAACGCCTAAGCTTGCAGCCAACACCTAAGGTTGTAGCCAACTAGTTTCTAATCCAGAATGAAGGTCTGGGTAATGCTCCATATGTTATAAATTTCTCATATAAATCAAGGAATAAAATATGGCAAGGAGTCATTATTTTTTCTCATTTAGTAGCACGCAGTGAAAGATAGCCAATATGTTTTTGTGGTCTAATCCAATTAATTTTTTTTTTGTTTTACAGTCTTCCTGAGAGGCTCACTCAGTAAAAACCTTTCTGAAGAGTGCAGGAAAGGAAAGTGCGTGTTCAAAAAAGCGTAGTACCATGTGCCAACTAAGGTCCGTCAGGGGCCTCTCTAGATGTAAAAAGTCTGGTAGAGACGTACCAGAGGATGTGTCAGTGAATCCATCTGCAGTATGTTTGACAATAACAACCCCCTGTATCTCACTAGGTGCCTTTGTCATGGTGCATCAGCAGTAACTGCTGTGTCCAGCCTCTGGATGATACTCATACAGTGCATTCAGGACAGGTACTGTAGAAGGAAGTGACTCCTGCACCATAAGGAACAGACACAGAAAAAAGGCTTACAGAAAGAGATACTGGGTATCTGAACCTGGTTGCCTGAAAAAGGAAATGCACAGGAAATCTGCAAAAAATATATATCTAACAAAATTAACAAGACACACACAAAAAGTTGCAAAGAGTCTGATCAGAAGAATACTACAGAGATGTGCTGCTGGAAGATAAGATGCCAAAACACAGGACTTTATGACTTTTTCTGAAATATATGGCCTATGAAAACACAGCACAATGTTCTTTGGGCTAATGCTTGTATATCTGAGCTGTCTGGATCAAATTGCTGTGCACTTGTTTACTGAAAAAACATTCAGAGCTTGAAGAGCAGATGCCTTTCTGTCAAGAACTGAACTTGGAAGTCTATGATGCTTTAAGGTTCAATAACATTTTTTTATCTTCAGTTCACACTTCATTAAATACTTCAGTAATTCAGGTTGATACGCTGCACGGGAGGAGATGATGGGACAGAATTTCATTTTCCAAACAGATATTGACTGCATGTTTATCTCCAAAAAACGCTTTCTTTTCTTTTGAAATTGTTTCATGTAAGTTGAGCTTCCAAAAATGAATGACTGAGTAGGAGACTGAAAACTAAAAAATAAAACATAAAAACATATAGTATGATGCATTTAACACTCACATTTACCTCATGATCACAAATACAAATTGCTTTACTATACAACAAAAATACTAGCTTTCACTTTGCTCTCTCTATTCTTTTGTTTGGCTTTGTAAAGAAGTAAGCCAGCACCCCCCATCAAAATCCTAATTATTGACTGTACTGCTGAAATAGAACACTACAAACACACTTTTGTAATCCAGAATTCTTTAGTTTTGAATCTAAAAGTTTACAATGCTTTGTAACAGATTCTGTTATCAAAAACTGAATACATCTGTGTGGACTTGGACAAACCCCTGCACTGCTGTCTTCAACTCATTTCAGCAACTTAGGTGTTGTCAGATTCTAAAATGTTTGTTTAGAATCCTTAATTTCCAAAGTGAAATCAAGTTTCGTTGAATCTACTTAAAGAATATTCGATGAGTACTGAACGCAGCAATTCTTCGATAAAGGAATGAAATATTTCACTAAAGCCTATTAAGCGAATAAAATGCCTGACTCTATGAAGCATGATGCATTAAAAATTAAGTAATGATCTGTTCACTAATAATTTATAAGTTTCATATAGCTAATGATTCATTTAAATCATGAGATTTTATGCAAGCTTTCATCTTGCCTTTTGGTTCAGAAAAACATGCTCTAGCAGCTCTACATCATCAAACCTAAATAATAATAATTTAATAATACAATTACTATTATTTCTGTTTAAATAGAATACACAAAGGCAAAAACCTACTGCCTTCCTCATGTTTCACTTTTAAAATATAATTTAAAATTGTTTCTAGCATGCTTGACATTTTTTTAGTTCTGTTTCTATTAAAAGAAAGACTTCACCTTCCAGAATGACAGAAGGAAGGAAAAAATTAATGTAAAGCAGTTTTACATTCTTGCTCCTAACAATGTAGAATTCTTAAAAGTAGAAAAGTATTTTAGAAAAGATATAATGCATTTCAAGTATCATTAAAGCAATACTTTATTTACATCATACAAAAACATGGAGTAAGATTTAACACTAACCAAACTTAATAAGAGGAAGGCATTAACGCTGAATCAGTGTAAGTAAAACACAAATTATCTTGAAATACTTTGATACATGAAAAGAAAGGACCTTCTTCTGAATTCAGGGTGCTCAGTGCTACAGCCACACTCAAGCAGCTTATCCAAGATCTATAGGTTATGCTTGTATGAGCATCAAAAGAACAAATAGGGTTAATATTTCCCTATCATAAAAGGAAATAAAGGCAGGGAGATGGCTCAGTGGAGTTTGCTCAAAGAGATACCATTTCTTTTTCATCTCTGGTTTTCATCTTTCTCCATTCACAAACATGCCCCCACCAGGTTTTCAGATATCTGAATTAACATTATCTGAAAGAACATGATTTTGCACAGATGTCTGGCTACTCTTCCATTCTTCCTGTTAAATTCTCTTTACACCTTCTTTCAACTGCTCCCAGAGACAATTAGAGCATCACGATCTTCCCCTGCATCAGTGTTATTTACTCCATCAAATAAATGAATGATTTAGTCTATACTATCACTGTTTCCACTGTTAGCCAGTAAGGGTACTGCATCTGTTAGCACTGTGAAGGTTTGGCTCTCCAGGCCCAGGAGTGAATACCACAGCAACTAACTGCATGTTTGACCCATTAGCTCACAGATGGACAGCTCCAGGCCTTAAGAGCCATAATTCTGCAGATGTTATAAGTACTTTTAAATTAGCAACTGATTAATACCTAGATAAACAGGTGATCCGGCTACTTATTGAAGCAATTCAATTAAGTAATTGTGATCAGGGGGGGGAATGAAAACCAATGGTCCCTAAAATATTTTTAAAAATGAAAAAAATTATAAACAGTTTTTGCTCTCTGCTAACAGACACTTTTTGTTTTTTCTTTGTAATTTCTTGGAAACTTCTAACTCACAGTTAGGAAAACCCAACCTTGTTTTAAGAAATTACTTAGCTGAATGAGTTCCTATAAGGTCAGTGGCAGTTAATTT